AAATGATATCTAGATTTATTCCAAAGGAAAGGAGGAGCATGTAGAATATATCTGTATTGTTTTGGGTATCTTGGGGAAACATAAATTGTATGCTAAATTTTCTAAGTGTGAATTTTGGATACCCTTAGTTGCTTGTTTTGGGCATGTATTTTCGAAAGAAGGGGTGCTGGTAGACCCCCAAAAGATTGAGGCAATTAAGAATTGGGTTCGGCCTAGATCCGTGACGAGGTTAGAAGTTTTATAGGGCCTGCTAGCTACTGATTTTATGTTTCAAGAACACCTCATCCAATTCTAGGTGTTCAATGATCGTAAATCAGTATAACATCCAACTAAATGAGTTGGGGTCGAATCCCATAGGGAGAGGTACGTGTTTCAGATTCAATAGGGAAGTATAAACGCGGTCAAATGAGTCATAAGAATAAAACTTATCGAATAAAGATATCATTCGAATCCAGGGGGGACACGAATGTCAAATGGGGTTTTAGGTTTTGATTATCAACTACAAACAACAGTCATAAACAAATGGGGTTTTAGGTTTTGATTATCAACTACAAACAACAGTCACAAACAATAAGAATTAAATACTGAGACGGATCCTTGGGACGTGATCGATTATAGGCTAATATAGACATATGGATAATTGCAACTATTAGTAAATAGAAAGATATTAGTGAGTAGGCTAGGCTATAAGAGAGAGAATTTTTTCTCGAACAATTACCCCGAATCAAGTGATTTCTCTCGAACATCAACAAGCATGCAAATTAAGAGCAGCCCACACCTTAATCCATTCACTCTTTTGAGCTAAATGTCTGGGATTGGGTTTAGGATTTACTCTCTATAGCTAAACCCAAATCAACCCAGTACCCACAAACCATCAATCAAAAACTTTAGTTTTAAAACTTCTCTCTCGAGCAAGCTAAGAACACAAACATAGAACTGCATTTACAACTACAATTCTTAAGTTAAATCACAATTAATGATTGAACTCACTTTTAAATAGCATTTAAACTAACAATTAGAAATACCCTAAATCAGCCCATAATCATATAATCACACCCCAAGAATTGGGTTTTAGCTAGACATCATAAAAAGGTAAAAACCGTTACCAAATTGGTTATCCATCAATTGGATTAGAGTGATTTCGTCTTTACAATACTCTAATTTGATGAATCTCAAAGACCCACTTCCAATTTATCAAAACTGAATTTCTTCAATCCCACCAAGCTAAGGAAAAACTCTCCACAAAAATTGTCACAGAAGTCTAAAAATTATTTTCTAGGTTCAAAGATACTAAACTAAATGTTCAAAAACGTATTTATAGTCGCCGAAAAAAGCTACGAAAGCTCATTCGGCGAAGTAAGTTGTGCTCGCCGAACCACTCTGCGAGCTGCCCTTTGGTCTCTTCCATTGCCCTTTCGCCTTGGCTTTTAGCATCCTCAAGGTCTATGACTTTGGGTGATCTATCTTAGCTTCGCGGAATCACTCGGTGATCCGTCGAATACTCCCTTTATTCGCCGACTTGGTTCTTTCCTTCAGAGCTTGGTACACTAGAACTTCAGGCGGTTTGATGAGCCACTCGGCGACACGCCAATTGCTCTTGGCGATCCTCAGGCTCGCCCATCTTCACTTCTTCAGCCTATTTTGTTCCTTTCTGCATGTTAGTGTCCTTGCTTTGTTCCTCAATCCATATTCCTGAAAATCAAGGATTTAACATCAGTTATTTGAACAAAATAAGCATTTGAGAACACTAAATCTATACAAACAAAGTCCTAAATGAGTCCAAATCCAGGACTCATCAACACCCCCAACTTAAACTTTTGCTTGTCCTCATGTAAAATTCAAGTTCCACAGTTCAAAAAGGATGTCTCAAAGTGCTACAAAAAACTCAATCATGAATGCACAAAACAAGACTCAACTTACTCATGCAAGGATCAATTGTGCACTCAAAGATTCAAGTTGTGACATACCATTATCAAAGATACTCAAGTGCACAATACTTGCTTCAAATGCAAGTTCAAACTTAAATAAGGTACTCAAAATTCCCTCACAACAAAGATGATTCCATATTCCCACATTATTCTTCAACAATTTAAAGTTCCGAAATCACATACGACTCTCATACTCATAAAGATGAACACATGCATGACTTCACCCATAGGTTTGCCCTTATTTTCCAATCAACATACGTTTCAGCTTACTCAAGATCAAAAAGGTCTTTTTAAGGCTTGTAACGGGGCTAAGTGTAAAGGTATGGTCAATTAGGCACAATGGTTGCTACCCTCATGAAATGTGGTATGAACATCACTTTTCTTCCTTTTACTCATGCTCAAAATTCACCCCATTATTCAACTTCCAATGGACTACCGAATACCCCATTTTGTTTGCAACTTTCACAACTTTATTTCCCAACTTTTCCATTCTTTTTCTTTTTGTTTTTTTTTATATATGGAGGGTGATTACTAATGTTTCAAAGACACTTCATCCAATTCTAAGCGTCAACAATCATTAATCAGTATATAACCCAACTAAATGAGTTTGGGTCGAATCCCACAGGGAGCGGTACATGTATAAGATTCAATCGGGAAGTATGAACATGTTCAAATCAGTCATAGGAATAAAAATTATCGAATAAAAACATCATTCAAATCAGGGGGTGACATGAATATTAAATGGGGGTTTTGGTTTTGATTATCAACTACAAACAGCGGTACACAATGCGAAATAACAATAATGAGACGGGTTCTTGGAATGTGGTCGATTATAGGCTAATATAGATAAATGGGTAATTGCAACTATTAGTAAATAGCTAGATATTAGTGAGTAAGCTAGGATATAGAGGGGACAAACTTTCTCTTGAACAATTTACCCGAATCAAGTTGATTTCTCTCGAACATCAACAAGCATGCAAAATAAGAACAGCCCACACCTTAGTCCATTCACTCTCTAGAGCTGAATGTGTGGGATTGGGTTTAAGGTTCACTCTCTCGAGCTGAACCTAGGTCAACCCAATACCCACTGACTATCAATCAAAAACCTTACATTCTAAAACCTCTCTCTCTCGCAAGCTAAAAACACAAAGTCAGAACTGCTTTTGCAACTACAATTCTTAAATTAAACCATAATTAATGATTAAACTCACTTCTAAATAACATTTAAACTAACAATTAGCAATACCCATAAACTAATTAGCCCATAATCAAATAATCACACCCCAAGAATTGGGGTTTTAGCTAGACATCATCAAAGGTTAAAAACCGTTACCAAATTGATTATCCATCAACTGCGTAAGAGTAGATTCGTCCTTACAATGCTCCATTTCGAAGAATCTCAAAGGCCCACTATCAATTTGTCAAAAGTGAAAAACTTCAATTATTCAAAGCTTAGGAAAATCTAGAGTAAACTTGTCTCACACTGCAGAACTTAAAAATAGATTAAAAAAATATATGAGCTAAGATACTAAACTAAATATTCAAAAATGTATTTATAGTAGCCAAAAATGTGTTGTGAAGAGACACTCGGTGAAGTAAGTCCGGCTTGCCGAACCACTCAGCGGCCGCCCTTTGACCAATTTCATTGCCCTTCTAGCTTGGCATTTAGCATCCTCAAGGTTCTGTAACTTTGGGTGATCTAATACTGCATCGCGGAACTACTCGGCATTTTACCGACCGCTCCTTTATCTCGCCGACTTGTTTTCTTCCCTCGAGGTTCGGCACAGTGGAACTTTAGGCGGTCTGTTGAGCCACTCGGCGACACATCGAGTCCTCTTGGTGATCGTCAGTCTCACCCTGCTTCATTTCTTCAACTTGTTTGTTCGTTTTTGCATGTTAGTGTCCTTGCTTTGTTCCTCAATCCATATACCTAAAAATCAAGGGTTTTACATCAGTTATTGGCACAAAATAAGCATTTGAGGACACTACTTCTATATAAACAAAGCCCTAAATGAGTCCGAATCTCGGACTCATCAGAGGGGTTCCATCTTTTTCAAAACCATGGCTTAAGGGGAATTCTTCACACTTCTTGATTTACCTTATCTTTTTCACCACTCCCCTAACTTAGGCTTTTGGCCTAAGTTGGCAATTCAAATGAACCACACTTCATGAGGATTATGGGTGAATTGATAAAGAAGGGTCACAATTGCTCAAGTTTCTTCCAAGATAATGATAAGGCTAAAGGGGTTCAAGCAAGGTTCACACAACTCACAAGGTTGGCCAGAAAAAGAGGTATATTGTCAAATTGTTTCACTCATCAAAATCGTTGCCTAAGATCATTGCAAGAGCTTGCATCACTTAGTCAATCGGACCAATGGGACAAATTCTAGGCGTTATCACAAAAGGTTCAAAGTAAGCTCATCACACAAGGCATTGGCACCAATATCAAACAAGACTCATTCGAGCTAGTGTGCAATGGTCATCACAGGAGACTCCATTCGATAACCGACTAGTCATAATGAGATGCATAAAGTCCACATATTGTCTATGCAACTTCATTTGGCCTCATCGTAGCCGCGCATTCATTTTTGTTCGATTAAGAGCACTATTTAAGTCATCGGTATTGATCATAACCGATTCTCAAATTTGCACAAGAATAGCCACAATCAAACACACAAGGGGTGGCAAAATTTTTCAAAATTGGTCAAAAACCATTACCATTCAAAACAAGGAGCGACAAGCTCAAATATCCAAAAGATAGAATCAACAGACAATATAAGAAACTAAAACCCAATATATATATATATATACAAAATATAGTCACAAGAGGTAGGTATGGGAATACTTAACCCCACCATAAACAAAAAGTAGTTGTCTTCAAATGCAAAAAAAGTAATTAAAAGTCAATAAAAACAATAGAGAGGGAAGTAAAGAAAGATCATGTCTACGCACTTGCTCCATCCGTCGGGGAATCAATGCCCGGTGCAACACTTTGATCTTGGGCATCAGTGCTCGGTGTAATAGAAACACTAGCTCCACTAGAGCCTGTCATGGACGTCTCTTGATAGCTAACTATACAATCGTCTCCTCTAAATCTGGCAGGTCTCTATAGATGGTCCCCTTCTGAGCATCAAGCTGCTCCTCATCCATCTCCGCCTCTAACTCATCAGCTACCACATCATCCATAGGCACATTTCTAGTGGTGGCCAGAGGCATCTCAGAACTGGCCGGGGCATCCTGATCCTGAGCTGACTCAAAGAGAGAAGTGAAGTCTGTGGACTTCAGATAGTCCACATCCTTTCTCAAATCTGAAACCTCAGGTTTCAAAGTTGTCACCTCTGAAGTAACCACTTGTCCTCTCCCACAGATCTCTACTCTCGCTATGAGATAATGAATCGACGTCCGAAGGGGTGTCAAAGCAGCTAAGATGGCTCGCTCAATCATCCAAGGCACCTCGACCTCTAGCAGGGTAGCTCACGCATCGACATAATGGGCTAGGTGCCCCATCTTGAAGATTATGGCCTGAGTAATCCTGGTGGGCTAGGAAGCAGCAGAAGGACCAGGAGCCTGGGAAGAAATGGAAGCGGGTGTACCTGAAGGCTCAGAGGCTAGAGTAGGCAAGGAGGCCTCTGCAGGTATAGACTCAACATTAACCTCCAAGGATACATCCACCGGAGCTGCTTTCCTCCTATCCATCTTATCCCGAGTGTACTCGGCCTCTATGTGCTGGATATCGGTGGAAGATGTGGGAGTGACCTCTATGTCCCTCATCTCGTCACGAGGAACTCCAGCACACCGACATAATTTTGTAATCAGGACTGTGAAAGGAAGGGATGTCTGGCGCTGTTTGGCCCTCATAGCCATCTTCTGCTCAATAATGAGTCCCAAGTTGAGACGCTTCCTGGCGATGATCGATCCGAGACATGCCACCTTTGGGTGGCGGAGGATGGACTTATTCTGTGAGGGCATGATAAAATTGTTGATGAACCCAAACCAATACCAAGCTGCAATGTTCAAGTCCTTCTTCTCGATGTGAGCTCCCACCTCAATCCACTTCGGGTGGTGTCCGAAATGAAGGGAGCAAGCCAGCCCTTTAGGTCATTCAAGGTCTGAGTTGTAGCTAATCCCTCATAATCATGCTTAAGTAGCTCTGTCAAGTGCAACATTGATACGATCGTTTTTTCACCCCACCTCTTTCCCCTGGACCATAACGGACTTCACCGGTCTGAAGGCACTGTCCTTCTTCTTCCCCTGGGTACTAGGTCACCGTACGTAGTGTGGAACTCACGAACCCAGGTAGGGATATATGGGCCTCGGGGCCTAGTGAAGATATCCAATCTGTGGAACCACTCCATCTATAGACAATTGTTTCTCCTCAATAATTGTCCTCAATCCCTCGACTTTTAGCCTGTTGAGTAGCCAGGGATGAGGACACTGAACTGCTGGCATTGGAACCATCGTCTGTACCAGAGCTGGTACTGTATCAGCAGCAGAAGGGGTATGCTCTGGGATCCTAAACAGATCCTAGCGAACAACGGCACGGACCTCAGTCCGCCTGGTTTGTAGTGGCTGGTCATCCTCATGTTCTGAGAATGAGGACTGAGAGTGAGCAAACTCCCCATCACTGCCAGAGTTGTGCTTTAGTCTCTCCGCCACGGGCGCTTTTCCTTTGCCCTTGTCTCCCTTTGGAGGTGCTTGCTTTCCCTTTTTAGAAGGAGCAGTTGCTCCCTCATTAATCATTTTGCCCCATGCTCGGTTTCGGGGCGGCATACCACTTTCGTCCAAGTTGGTCCTAGCCATATCTGCATAACACACCAAAAAGAGTTAGAAATGATCCAAGAATCATGCAGAAAAAATATTGCTCTCACCGAATCGATCAACAAGTCACCTAGTCACTTTAGCGAGCCAGATCAGGCTCGCCAAAAGAATTGGCTTTAAAATTTCCCAGACAAAAGACAGGTCGGCGATGTTCGGGGCCCTTCGGCAAATCGTCGACATCACTCGGTGAGCTTAGAATAGCTCTATGAATGTTATAGTATGTTTTAGGGGTTAGAGGCGCATAAAGGGCAATTACAGGAGACTTTCGGTGAGTCGCCGAGTGAAATCGGTGAGCTCAGGCTTCCTGCCAAAAGTTACAGACTCTATTCTAGCAAAAAAACGAAATTAAGGGCAATCAAGGGGGATGTTGGTGAATCGCCAAACGGTTCGGTGAGCTATGTCTGGCCAACGTGCCAAATTTCAACCCCATTTCCCAAAATCAAGCCCACAGCCCCCGTAAACAAAATTAAACCACACACTTCATCAATTAAACTTAGACCCATACGACCCATGCCTCTGGGGTACTTAGACTTCTCCCGGTTTGGCAAAAAATAGCCATTTGATGACTTTTTCCCTTAAGAATGACGTCAAACTCTCCATCATTGGGAAAATTACGTCATTTAGCACAATTGGGGTTACTCAGCCTTTACCCGACTAGAACCAACAACAATGTAATGCAATCTAACAATTTATGATCAATTATAAAGCACGAAAACTGGAAATCAACAATTTAGGCAATTTAACACAGTTACGAAACTACGATTGGCAAACTAGCACACATTTACGATTTTAGAGAAGGCCCAACACACATCAATAAGAGTTAAACAATTGCATTCAAATTCAACAACTATTTAAAAGTTCAGGGTTCGGAAAATCAACCTTTAAGCCAAAATACGAGTTTGTAAAGCTAGACGGCAATGTATTCCAACTCCGAGCATGAGATCAGCGAGCAAGAAGCGATAAAAATGCAAAAATAAAGAAAATCTAGAGTACGGGTGTGATTTTATGAGGCAAAAATGAGGGAATATGAAAGATTTTGAAATTTTGAACTTTTGGCCTTTTAAAACCTTTCAGTCTGCGGCCCTCGGCGATATTAGTCATCCTCGCAGAACTACTCAGCGACACATCGAGTGATTACTTACCTCACCGAGTTTTACATGACCTCCAGTTAATTTAGGGGTTCAAACGGCGGACAAAGTCGAGTTCACTGACCTGTTCGGTGAGTCACCGACTCGTCCATGGGCCCGCCAAGTTTTAAAGACTCCAACCTGATATTTTCTTGAGCCCAACAACGGTCCAAGATGGGCTCGTCGACCTCTTCAGCGAGTCACCAACTAGACCCTTTACTCGCCAACATGTAATTTTCAAACTCATTCCACTTTTCCGCTTGCACAATTGACACCCATTATTCAAAATCAAAAAACGAAGAATCAAAAACTTGGGTTTCCTCCCATGAAGCGCCTTAGTTATCGCCCTGGCACGACGCAAGTACCCACTCAAGCTTCATTCTTGGGGTTTGCCATAGTATCACTAGGCAACCCTCCTTGTTGTCTTGAGTTGAGATGAGACGAAATATTGCCAATTTGGGTCTCCTGTAGTTTAATAGATATGTAATGAGAAGCAATCATCTAATTTAGCATTGAGATGTTCTCTATTATTTCTTTCAACACTCTGTCGTCTTCCTCGACTTTGTGGAGAATGCGTGAGAGTATCTCTTTTATCTGTCCACCCTCATAATCCATAGGCTTTTTACGCTCATAAGGAGAAATGTACCTATCTTTCTTTTTACACAGTACTTCAAATTCCATTATATTTTTGGCCAAGAGATCCAGCTAGGTCAACATTTTGGCTAAATTCTAGTCCCTCTCTTGCTCCTTGTTGGTCTTGGTCATGCGATCGAGGAGTTGGGATACTATTGCATAGGGTTGTCGCATTAGACCACCCGGAGAAAGTTGGTCAGCCACTTCATTGTTCTCAGGACCAAGACCTCTATAGAAAGAGTCCAGTAGCAACTTATCTAGGATTCCATGAGTTGGGCACTACAATAATAGTGTCTTAAATCTTAACCACAACTCATGGATTGTCTCATCCTCCGAGTGCTTGAAATCTAGGATGTTATCCCTAAGAATCATCATCTTTGAAGGCAGGTGGTCCACTTGGTTACCCTTGCTACCATATACACTCATTTCCTCTGTTTTAAATAGTAACACAAAAATGAAAACTAAAAGTAAGTAGATTCAACTATGACTAACAAGAATACAATTCAACTATACCAAAAGAATTTCAAACAACACCACTCCCCGGCAACGGTGCCATTTTGATTGTACGTTTCAAGCACACCTCATCCAATTCTAAGTGTTCAATGATTGTAAAATAGTATAAAACCCAACTAAATCAGTTGGGGTCGAATTACACAGGGAGCGGTACGTGTTTCATATTCAATTGGGAAGTATAAATTCGGTCAAATAAGTCATAGGAATAAAAATTATTGAATAAAGTCATTATTCAATTCAAAGGGTGACACGAATGTCAAATGGGGGTTTTGTTTTTAATTATCAACTACAAACAATAAGAATTAACAACAATGAGATAGATTCTTAGGATGTGATCGATTATAGGCGTATATAGACATATGGGTAATTGCAACAATTAGTAAATAGCTAGATATTAGTGAGTAGGCTACGGTATAAGGGAGATAATTTTCTATCGAACAATTACCACGAATCAAGTGATTTCTCTCGAACATCAACAAGCATGCAAATTAAGAGCAGCCCACACCTTAATCCATTCACTCTTTCGAGCTAAATGTGTGGGATTGGGTTTAAGATTTACTCTCTCGAGCTAAAACCAAATCAACCCAATACCCACAAACCATCAATCAAAAAATTTAGTTCTAAATCTTCTATCTCGAGCAAGCTAAATGTAACGACCCTAAAAATGAACTAGTGAAACTAGAGCCTAACGTGTGTGCATTTGAGTTTGATGATGTTTGATGGTTTCCCGAGTGAAAGTTGAGGAATTTAGGGGTGAAATATCCGGGTATGACTCCCCAAGGACCACCCAAGGGGTCCTTGAGGAGGACCCCAACACTGCCCAAAAGCTGTCAAAAATAGCTTGGTTCACGGAGGCAGATCACGCCCCTTAGACCAGTCCCCGTAGGTCATGGGCGTGGGTTAGGACTTAGTCTAGGAAGGCTTGACCTTCATTTTTTATCCACATCTACCAACCATAGATGGAAAACACGAGGCGTCAACCTATCCACAGTCCGTGGATGGGGAGCCGTGGTTTGCACCTGGGTAATTTGGTTTGGCTCGACAACTGCATGGGTGAATTGGTTAATTCACCCCAAGTCCTAATAAGTTAGGGGACGATTATTTTATGTTTATTTAGTTATGTTAAGGGTATTAAAAGTATTAAATTCAATTTTAGACTTTATTATCACAAAACCCCAAATTCAAACTACCCTTCCCCTCCAATAGACTTTCTCTCGAACGTCCATAGAAGTTGAAGACTCCAAGCTTCCAAGGTCAATTTCCCCAAGGTTTTCAAGGTGATTCCGTGGGAAGCAATAGTAAGGTATGTTAGTCTTTATCCTTGTCTAATTTTCCATTCAAGGAGCCAATTCA